GGGGGGGTGGGGGGGTCTTGTTGCCATGGCTGCAAAGGTCCTGTGACTCAGGCCCCCAGAGCAGCACCTCCCCAGGGACCATCTCACTCACTGCTCTGCAGCAGAGACCAGCCCATATAGCAGGAATCTGTTAGCCATCAATAAAAACATTAAACGTAGTTGTAAAAAATGCTTAAATAGCCCAGCCGGGCGTGGCTCAGCGGTTGAGCATCGACCTAGGATCCAGGCGATCGGGGTTCGATTCCCAGTCAGGGCACATGCCCAGGTTGCGGGCTCGATCAATGACTCTCTCATCATTGATGTTTCTATCTTTCTCTCTCCCTCTCCTTTTCTCTCTCCGAAATCAATAAAGATATATTTAAAAAATAATAATAAAATAAAAATTAAAAATACTTAAATAATACACGATTTTGCCCCAGTCTTATCCTTAGAAGCAACCATTGTTAAGGCTTTAGTGTGTGGCCTTCTTGGCTTTTAGGCCACCCATAGTCTTGCCACACACACACACTCGCACACACTCACATCCTATACACACACGTTCATACTCAGACGTTTACAAACCCACGCACACACTCTCCCCCGCACTCGCACGTACCCACGCACGGGTTGGTCGCGCTATAGCTCCCGTTCTGTTACCTGCCTCCCCGGGACACGCTCGCTGCTGCCTGCGGGTCCACCTCGTTGTTTTTCAAGGGTGGCGTGGAGCTCGGAGAGCACCCATGGGCCGCACCTGCTTTATCCATTCCCCACGTGGTGAGTTTTTGGGTGGTTCAGTTTCTCTCTCTCACAGACAAGCTTCACTAAGCAGCCTTGACTACATGTTCCCACACACACGTCCAGGCACACACACCTTTCTCCAGCCTCCATCCCTAGGGGGAAGATTTGCTGAGACAGGGTGGCTGCCATCTCCTTTCTGCAGCAGGAGACCGAGTGTGCTCCCCAGCCACCAGGAGGTGGGCCTGAGGAGCCAGTCACGAGGACAATCCCTGCATCTCCAACCCGGTGCCTTTCTCTTCCTCAGGTATGAGGTGACCTGCAAAAGCTCAGAGCTGGCCAAGGACATCCTGGTGCCCTCCTTTGACCCCAAGAAAAAGCACTGTGTGTTCCAAGGTGACCTCCTGCTGTTCAGCTGCGCAGGCGCCCACCCCAGGCACCAGCGGATCTGCCCCTGCCGGGACTTCATCAAGGGCCAGGTGGCTCTCTGCAAAGACTGTCTATAGCGGCCACCGGCCCGGCCCTGCACACACACTGCTGGGAAGACAGCGGCTCCTGCCCCGCCCTGGCAGAGCCGGGGGGCACACGTCATTCAGGGACTCTCGCCAGAGCCTTGACTTTTTGGTGGAAGATTTCGATTTGGTGTCTCTCCCGCCATGGTCAGAGCATCACAGTGGCGTTTTCACCAAAACAAAAGGAGAGCAGGTGTCAGGCTGGGAGCCTGGCTTTTCTCCCTGGCATAACTTTTATTTTTTTTTGAGGAGCGACTGTAGGGAGAATCCATCGATGCACCTGCTCAAGGATAGAGCACGAATCTCAAGATTCATTAAAACAAAACAAAACCAGAGAAGGAACTGAGCTGGTTGGAAAGAACTTTGTATGGGAACATTCCTAAATCCATTAACTTATTTATTTGGGAGGGAGGGAGAGGGTCAGGGGAGGGCAAAGAGGGATTGGTCACAGGTCTTATTTCTTTGATTTTCCACTGTTTACCATCTGCCTTCACTGTAATGTTTTTTCTGTCTGCTTCAGGCAGTGGGCAGGAGGGAGAGATGGCGCACTGTGGGGCTGGTGGCACGCTTGAGGGCAGCTGAGGGTATCTAGCTTCTCAAAGCGGATGGTGCCAGAACAAAAGGAAACCTTGTGTGTGCGCTTGAGGGGTGGCAGCTACGGGACAGGTACCGATGTGGGGGGGCAGCCCAGCCAGGGAAAGAAGTACAAGGTTGGGAAATTCACATTTGGTGGTGGGTGGTAAATCCAGAAATGCAGGCCTGAAAGAGCTACCCTTGGTTTTAGTCGTTTAACCTCTAAGAGGGTTGTTTCTGAGCTGCGAGTGGACAGGAGGAGTGAAGCTGGCCCTGTGAACTGTGTCACCACTGGAGCTGGGCTCCAAACAGGTGAGCTTGTGTTACATTCCTTCTGATGGCTGATATCACCGAAGTCCAAGGACAGGGGCTCTCAGTGAATGTGTTGGTCGCTGGGGCAGGCAGGGTGAAAGTGACCCGCTGTCCCGGCCACTCACCGGTGGGGGTGAGGGTGGGGTGGCTCTCAGTCCAGGCATCAGTATTCTGAGGGGAATGAGCCAGTTGGCAGCCTGGCCTGGTCACACTCACTGGACCCCCTTCCAGCCCCGGAGCCCCTGCGCTCTCCTTGTGTGGGTTCCCCACCCGCACTATGCACTATTTTTGTGCTTAGGCTATAAGTCTGTTTCCTGCGAAGCCTTCGCCTCCCTCCTAGGAATCTCCCTATTACGAGGCAGCTGTGGTCCACCCAGCCCTCGGGGTGGTTTCGAGTGCCTTGGTGGCTCTGGCAGTCCTGGCTTCCCAGCACCCTGCATGCCCTCAGGCAGCTGGCCCAGCCTCAGGCTGGCAAGAAATGGCTGGGTGGGCCTTTGAGAAGTGACACTAAAGGAAGGGTTCTGTTTCATGAGGAGCAGGGAGTGGGGAGCCTCTAGGTATGGGGAATTACGTTCTGCCGTGCTTCCCTGGTGCGTAGGTAATGCCAAATGTATAACCAGCCTTTTTTTTTTTTTTT